TGTTATAGGGTTCATCCAGAAGCAAGTCTTACCTAATTAAGTATGTTTAACAATTATATTCACCACTAACATTGGGCAGCAAGTATATGTAATCAGTTATCCAATGCACAGAATTTACAGAGAAGTGTTTGCAGCACAGATATACAGCCATGGGAAAAAGAAAGTACACTTTTTTTTAATGACATGGTTTTACATATTAGTACATAATAACAATAATCTGTTTTTTAGCATAAAATTAGGAAAATACAACCACAGATAAACAGCAACACAGTGGCATATTACACAGTGTCATGATTTAATAAACAAATATAAAGCCAAAATAAAGTACACCCTCATATTGCTGTTGCTCTGATCTTCGGGATATACGTGCCCAAGAATTGCTGCATATTTGGTTATAGGACATCAGTATCTCTGATAGCTGTGGACTGTGTTTCTGGTCGGTAACCTTTGCCTCTTGGGTCCCTCAACCGACTCCTGATGCAAACAGCCTTCGCGTATAGACCGGGATAAGCCCCACCGGTCCAAGGGGGGGAGGGGACAGGGCCATTGATACAAGCTTCGGAGGTCTGCTTAACTGCTGAGATAGTGAGTAGCCACCTCCCCTCCCAATTGCCAGTTAGGCCTCAACCTCCAAAAGCCACAATCATGCCGATATCAGGGCTATCTCGGGCTGCACAACAGGTCACAGTTCACAAGCTATTGTGCTATAGTCAGGGCTCACAGCGCTGGTTAGTATTACAACGATTAATCGCTAAATGACAGATCGGTAGACTAAAACTCAGAGGAGCAATATCACTATGCGTCCATTCGAGATGGTGGTCAGGCACACCCTACATTTTCTTTATCAAGAAAACAAAACTATTGATGATCATCTATGAAACTGGATATATACTACTCATCTGAGCTGGGGTTTGTGGCTCTGTTTACTCAACCAATAAATGGAGAAAACAAACTGACCTATATAGAGCTCTATCATCAAACAATGCGGTTCTCTTGTCTCAGGGTTGATTGTTAGCCTCATACACAACTTTAGAGGGTAAGGGTCGTGGAAAACTAAATTGTATCTGCAAACTGTTTACTGAACCAGACAGAGTCTTCTATATTTGAAGGATTTTCTTTACTTTAGCAATGTTGTAACCATTGGTGTCTGAATAAAAACACAAGTTGTCATGGCAACGTCATTGTCCACTGAGAAACTGCATAGGATAGGTCTTAGTACTGGGGTAAACAACTGTGTTACAAGTCTCATATTTTCTAAATTACGAATCATCCATGTCTTTTATTGGTTCGTTTTTGTTTTGTTTTATAATTTTGAATATGCTGTATATCTTTATTAATCTATGCATTACTAGAATGCTAATATGTCAATAAATGCTGGTCACACTATCAAGAACATATTTTATTTCACAAAATTTAAAAAAGCTTCTTTGCTAGGTGAACTTAATTTTTAAAATAAATTATTTATACTATTCATCTTAGTATACCTAATTCCACGGTATTAGGGAGCTATCTATTAAAAGGCTGAAAGACCAACTTTGGTACTAATACTTTATATAAGTAAAGATTATTTAGTATTAGTGAATAAGGGTGTTTAAAATCTCCCCTCTGCCCCTACTTGCTATATCAGGAGTAGGGGCATGTCTACTAAACAGTGAGCAGCCAGTGCCCCCCCCCCCCACTCCTATCCAAATAATTAATGTGGCGCATAGTGAACCCTGAACCTCTGTGAACAGTGGGGGTTATTAAACTAAATTGGGAACAATTGTCTCCTCTCCCGGCCCCACCCATGAGAGGTAGATGGGGGCCCTCAGTGACAAAAGGGGATGGACCTATTGTCCCCCCCTTTCCCCCAATGAGCAGCGGGTGGGGGCCCTCTGATGAATGAATAGACAAAATTCCTGTCCAAAGTTGGACAATAGCGAACACCCAAGTGGTCAATTGGCCATGCAAGGAAATTTCACAGCACTGTTTAGTGTGGGCATATGACATGTCCCACATGGCCTTCATCTGCTTACATAAAGATGGTGGTGCCCAGGACCTAGGTCAAGTTATTGGAACAATAAAATGTATTGCAGTCGGGAGGGGGATACAAAAAAATGGATGCAGCGATGACAGTGCCGCTTAACCCCTTAAGGACCAAACTTGTGGAATAAAAGGGAATCATGACATGTCACACATGTCATGTGTCCTTAAGGGGTTAAAGGCCTGGCTAAAACATGGGACTTCACATTTGCAGCCCATATTAATTTACGGGCTTAAATTCATCAAATTCAACCTTTCATGCATTGTTTTATGCTCTTGGTCCAAAACAAGAACATAATTCCAATTTGAAGTGGGTGCAACATAAACAAATGAAATTATGCCTCAAAAAGGGGGGGGGGATTGTCATAACTCCCTAATGAAAATCAGATTTCTCCTTGTATCAACAAGCTGTTGTAGTGTTTTTGAGCCTGTCACTGTAAGATGATGTCTGTCAGAACACTGAGCTATTGGTCTCCCCCATGATGAAGCAGGCCAGCAATACTCCCTAAGGTATCAATCAGCCTTAGGGACAATTCGCTAAATAGTGCATTGTTAAGGTGAGTGTTGGGGTTAGTGTTAGGGCTAGAATTAGTTTTTTTTAGGTTAAGCATTTTTTGGGTTAGGAAAATTTAAGTTTAGAGTTAGACAGTGTGGCGAAACCAACCTCGCCACTGTGCACTGGAGAAGCCTGGTTGCCAGCCTCCTGCCATCTGACTATGGCCCCCTTTTAAAAGACTTTATTTTGCCTGCAGAAAAGCTGTATTCGTGCTTTTCTGCCGGTTGTTCGGTAGTTTCAATCTACCGAACAACCGTACGAATGACTGGACCACCTGGGAGCTGGAGTGTGCCGGCAATTAACCTCCCTGAAGCTGCGGTTAACCGCAGCTTAATTGATGAATGCTGGGTGGCCGCCATTCGTATCCCGAACACGAGGTCGCGGCCATTTTAAACCATACGAATGAACAGCGGTGTTCGCCTCTATTTTCATGGAACTAAAATCGGACACAGTTTTGCGCGAACACCGCTGAAGCCGCCGACCTCCCTTCTTGTTCGGTGAAAGTGCACGAACGGCCCGGTGTTCGGTATTTTTGTTCAAATATGTTGTGCCCCAGATAGGAATCCCATGGAGCCCATTCGTATGAAACTGACTGTGTAAAGACTTTGGCTCCATGGCGATTAAACTGTATTCGTGTGGTCTGAGTGCCATTCACCTAATAATGTGCACTCAGACCTGAGCTATCTGGGGATATGTGAATGTCTGTGTTTTATGTAGTAAATGTTACTTTGTGTATTTTAAAGTATAATGCTGGTTTTGTGTCCCCACGTGTGTAATGGAGTTTTGCCTTTGTCTTGGGAGATAATTGAGTTACTTCCCAATTATCTCCCAAGGCAGAGGGGAGGAAGCCAGGATGCATTGTGGGAAATACTGTGACTGTGTGTCCTATTTGTCCACTTGTCTGTCCCTTGTCACAGTCTCCCATTTGGTCCCCTAGGGGAGTGTCCACCAGGTGGGAGACCTGCATAAATACTGGGCAGGTAACCCTCATTAAACAGACCACTGCTTGACCTTCAACACGGAGCCTCGTCTCGTCTTTGGGGGGATTTACTGTATGCTGCTAAGGACTGATTGCCAGGAGTGTAAGCCGCTTGGGAGCTTTTCCTGTTCGTCTTTTAGCAGCTATTCGTATGGTTCCAGTTCGGGAGTTTGAAGTGCTACCTTATTCCCTTGTATGCCGTTCGGGAGTTTGGAGCATTCACTTATTGGCGGTTCGTGAGTTTTGGTGATTATTCAGTAGCTGTGCCTGTCTCTGAAAGGGGGATTGTCGTCTAAGCGTTTTTTTCCCCTTTTGTGCAAAACGGTCCGTTACAGACAGGATTATGGCTAGATAGGGTTAGCGATTGGGTTAGATAAGGTTAAATAGTGTCAAAATGTGATATTGGTTAGTATGGTGACACAGATAGTGTAAGTAAGTAGTGGGAAGCCATCAAAGATTCAAAATATGGGAATGTCTATAATTTGACCCTTCAAGTTCTCAAAAAATATGATTTACATGTGGGCCAGGCCGCTATCAGGGCGTGACAACTGTGACGGTTGTCAGGGGTCTAGTGGTCCCACTTGGCCCCACTTGTTGCTGCTGCACCTGGGCCTGCATGCTCCAGAGGAACTGCATAACATGAGCCTGGTCAGGCACCGGGGCATTGTAAGAACGCGAGCTGGACCCTGTGACAACAGCAGAGCCGGGAGGAAGTGACAGCTGGTCACTACCTCCCAGAAAGACAGTAGCATGTGGGAGGAGGAGGCAGAGCACAGGCAGCATGGGGAAGGCCCACACACATCAACTTAGCCAGCAGCACCCCAAGAACGTGACACCCTCCTGCAGAGATTTGCATGTATATCAGTTTGTATGTATGTGTATCTGTATGTTTATCAGTGTGTGTTTATACACACAAATGCACTAATACACAAAATAGGATAAGCACTAAGAAATCAACTATGATTATAAAAGAAGAAGCTACAAACACTGAGTGTAAGGTATACTTTCCAAGAGACACACATGCACTACATTCAAACGCCAACAGTCATACACACATATACTCTACAAAAAATATGCCTTAAATTCAAACTCACAAACACTGCCAGACCTGTACGACAAATGCGGATCTGCATTGTGGCCACCTCCAGTGCGAGAGGGGGGCTCTAAAAAAAATCGTGCATCAAGCTCTCTCTATGTTAGTTCCACCACTGCCTCGTGGGCCCTCAGCAGCCAGTATAGTGAAGAGGGGGCCCAGTACATGCAATCTTCAACTTTCAAAGGCTCTCTCCAACTCTACCGAGACCCCGGTCATCAGATTGTTGCCGCGGGTTACCATGTCAATGAAAGGGTTAATGTTGTAATGGACTCTAATCCCCTCGGTTCTCGATCCCTCGGTCACCATAATCAATGTTGATGGAGAATCATTTGTAAGCAATAACACACGGACAACAGCTTTACAAGACTCTCAAATGAGTGTATTCCAGAGCTGGCTTTTATACATAGTTTGCTTACATTAGCCATGGTATATGCAAATACAGTACAGACTATAAGATTTATTACTTCCTTATATTACGTTATTCTGACAATGGAAAGATAAGCTTTTGCATACGTCTGGAAAAGAATATCCTGAAATCGGAATGGGCAAGACATCCTGAAATTTTAGCATTGTCTTACATCCTATAGAAGAAATACCTTAGTCTGTCACAGTCAGCATATTATGTCGTATATTGAGTTTAAGTATTCAATATTCCTTCAGTCAGCAATAATCATGTTATAAACCTTATAAAAGCATAAAATACATATAAACAAGTTAACTATTTAATATTCTTACATTCCCCTCTTTGAGCAATAAAACAATTGCTCATCTTATCGATAAAATCTTACCAGGACAGAGAAACTTCCACATGGTATTTTCAGGGGTGCTAGTCACTCCCTGCGGGACTTTCATTAATTTCTTCACCTCGATTCCCATGTGGTAATTCCTAAGGCCCAGTTTAAAGATGGGTTGATACCCTCCAGTGGCAGAGAGGAGAATTTCTAATTGTTTCTGTTCTGCATTATGGATTCATTTCTGTACTCTCTTCCTCAATGTACAAGTAAGGTGACAGTTATATAAAACCATACACAATAAAATCAGGACTATAATAACAAAATGATATAAGAATGATTTCATTATCTGAGATCCAGTAGGGGACCAACCAGTGAAGCATCGTACCAATGATGGGCTAAATCATTCTGAATTTGTGAACTCACCTTAAGGAGTTCTCCTTTTAGGATATGTGTGGCTACCTGTGTATGTTATCTTTGGGAAAAATATAGTCCCCTGTGTATGTGGGTGCCCACCAGGTTAAATTCTTGGCAAAAAGATCATAAACTGGTACTGGTAATGTGTTAAATTGACAAGCTAATTTAACATCCTTTGATGATGTATGATATAATGTAAAATAGCATGAGCATGAAAAATGTGAAACATTACCAGTTAACCATCCATTGCATTTACTGGATTGGGGTTTTAGAAGTAACCATTCATTATCTGTGAGGTTACGCTTTCCTCTAATCTTCTCTAGTTTGGGAATCATTAGTGTGTTTTCTAATGCCAATCCTTGTTGTTGTATCCATAAATACCTGATGGCACAAGTACTCCAATTACTTAGACCTGTTGTGAATTTCATAGTTGCAACAGTTAAATTATCTAAATAATTATACATTGATTTATCTAAATCCAATCCTGTAACCTGTGATTTAACAACAGTTGGAGCCCAGTTTGCAGTAGCATGAAAACCAGTCCCTATATGCATACTGGCTGTGTTTAACTTATTCTTGAGGGTCTCCATGTCTATACTATTTAGTATACCCATAGTGGTTCCAGCACCTCCTAACAGTGTGTCATACCATTCCCTTTTCTGCCTTTTGTTTGTTGTGTTACATAATGTTACAACAAGAGTAGTGACTTTTAATGACACATGTACAGCTTGTAAGAAGGCAGTTGTATTAACACATGTGGACGGAATAGGTGTGTGTGTGTCGTGGTTGACTTTTGGTTCTATGATAGTGGATGAAGGACAGTAATAAGGTGTAAAAATATAAGGTAGTGTATAGTTCTCAATTGCAGTGTCGTTCATAATGACTAACATTTGTCCCCTTTTCCAATTAATGATACCAGTTATATAATCATTATTAAAAGTAATAAGGCCTGTCTGTTTACATTGATATGCAACCTTAACTGTGCACATTTCTGCGTTATAAGATCTAACAATTTTCTGTGAACCTTTAAACAAACATAATGCATCGGTTTCATTAGCTGTAGACACATTTCATATGGGTAACTGGTACTTATAAGGGTTACTATTTGTCCAATTCATCCAAATGCGTTCAGTGAATGAATGATTGCATATTGCATGCTGATAGAAAGGTGGTGGAGAAAGGTTCTTGAGGTGGCGTGTGTGACGAATGCTGGATGAGGGGCTAAGGCCTAATTGGGCTGGGGGTATTGAAGAATTGTTCATCATGTCAGAGTCTTTTTCCAGAACTTGCCATTGACTTGTACTCATAATGGCATTCAAGGAACAATATCAGAGGGAGTATAACAACTCCAGAAAGCATAGCGCACAACATAATCTTGGTCTCAGGTACGTATGATCCTCTCAATCTACGATATGGTGTAAAAGCCATGATGCTTCGCTGAGGAGAAATTCTTCTGTTTCCGAGCGAGGAGTGGTGTTGTCTTCCTTGGTTCCCCTCTTTGGACACAGCTTCACTCGGGATGCGTGAATCCAGATGTCATGGGAATCTGTGAGGACAGCGGTTATGGGTACAGCAATCACAGTAGCAGGTGGTCCAAAAGGGTATCCTCCTTTCTTGGTCCTGTTCAGCTGACGGATATACACCTTGTCACCGGGCTGGTATGAATGAGTAGGTTCCTGTGAAGGTAAGGGAAAACTGCGAAGAAACATTGTCATACATACCATTCAGTTTTATCAACAACTCCTGTACATATTGTTCTTGTATTAGCTGTAAATCCCCAGACATTATAACAAGCAGTTCCCTGGCCCAGGGTGTGGGAAAAGGTCATCCCATCAAAATCTCAAATGGAGATAATTTAGTCACCTTGTGAGGAATCACTCTTATCTCAGCTAAAATAGCTGGTAGATATCTAGTCCAATTTACCCATGTTCCTGGGTAAATTCTGGGCTTTTCCTTAATAGTCCTATTCATCCTTTCAACTACCCCTGTATTCTGTGGATGATAGGGTATATGAAACTGCCAGGTAACTTGCAAGAATTTAGCAAGTTCCTGGGCAACCCTACTGGCAAAAACCGGGCCATTATCAGAGCCAATCTGCAGAGGGCAGCCATACCTGGGAATAATTTCAGTAACAATAAACTTCACTAGCATCTTCCCTAGATGTCACAAAGGCCTCATGCCATCTACTAAACTGATTAACTATGACCAGTAAGTATTGCTGTTTCTTACCAATTTTGGATACATGAATAAAATCAATCTGTAAGTGTGTAAAAAGAGCAGCGTTCACACGATCTTACAAAAGACTGTACATGCTGCCTGAGATTCCTAATATAAAATGAATTCATGAAGAATTGAATGGTGCTTGCTATGTGCCTGACTGATGAAAATAAATCAGCTTGCTTCAAGTATGCCTATTCTTCAAGTATGCCTATTCTCCCCTCTTTAGAGAACAGATCATTTTGATCTTTCTCTAAACCTTGTTTAATCCAAAAGACAGATTCTGGGTATTAAAAAAAAAAAGAATCTCATAACCACTGAAGCGCTGGGCTGTCATGTGTTGTGTGGTGAGATTTGTCAGCTGAGTGACCTGGTGACTGGCATGAAGTATTGTAGGATGCCCTAGTGTGATAGTAGTAGCAGTTTCAACAGCCATTGCACATGCTATCAATGCTCTGAGACACGCCGGCATACCCTGTACCGGAGCTCGAACTACTTTGAAAAAGAATGCTATGGGACGCATACCGCCTCCTTGCTCTTGTGCACAGACTGCGGCCATGGTTTTACACTTGTCCCAAACATACAAATGAAATGGTTTACAATACACAGGTAGTCCTAAAGCCTGGGCTTGCACAATAACAACTGTAAGGGCAATATATGCAGCTAGCATGTCTGGTGACCAGCAGACATTTTCAGGGCTGTCAGAACGTACAGCCTCCCTTAGGATTGAGTTATAATGGGAGCATTCAGGGATCCATTGGCGGCAGTAATTAATCATGCCGAGGAAGGTGAGCAACTCCTTCCGAGTAGTGGGTGTAGGAATCCTCTGAATGACCTCAATACATTTTGGACTCAATTGTCTGGTGCCTAAAGCCAGAACAAAACCTAAGTATTCAACCTTTGATTTACACAATTGCATTTTGTGTTTAACAACCTTGTGACCCACAGTTGCTGACAGTATCCACAGTGCTTGCCTCATAGTTAGGGCTACATAACAACAAATCATCAACATTTTGCAAAAAGGACGGAACCATGACCGGTGGTCCATGTTTTTTAGAGTATGTTAGAGTACCAACGAATAAACAGCTGGGGAATCCACATAGCCTTGGGTAAGCGTGTCCAGGTAAACTGACAGCCTTCAAAAAGTAAAAACCATAAGTAGCTGTGTCTCTTGATCAATAGGTATAGAAAAAATGCATTACTTAAATCAATGACAGTGAAGCAAGTGGCATCATGTGGAATGGCTGTAATGAGGGATGTCACATCAGGGACAATGGGTGAAATGGGCACAATTAAACTATTCAGGGCTCTAAAGTCCTGAACTAAGCGATATGCTGGCCAGTGGTGTTGGGAGTGGGTCTGGTGTTGTTCTTGCCTACAGGGCATATTTTGAGAAAGGTGGGGTTGTTGGGGTGTGTGGGGTTTCCTGGGGTTTCCTGGGGTTTCCTGGGGTGTGGACACTCATTCCTCCAGTGGCCATATTGGCCACAGTTGAAACAAGTGTTCCTGTCTATTCCTCCTTGGTTACCCCTATAACCCTGATTTCCCTGTCTCCATCCCCTTGCCCCTCTTTGACCACCCCTTCCGCGGGCTTTATGTGCTCCATCCCATCCTTGCTCTCAGCCTGTGTAGCTGGACATATGTTGCAATCCCTGAGCATAATAAGCAACCTTACTTTCCTAAACCTTTTCTTAATTCAAAACAACCTGCATTTTCCTTTTCTATAACCTTGGTAAGAAAATCTGAGCTATCCAAATTGGCCCAGTCTGATCAATTGTTTCACAAGCAAAGAATACTGTGGCAACATATTACCAAGGCATGACTGTATTTTAAAGAGATCTATATCATCTCCAGACATCAAACCTGCCTCATCCTTCCAACACTTGTAAAATTTCTTTACAAAAATCATATTACCAATCTCTTCCTTTGCATCCTGCTTATATGCCAAAGCAGTGAATATAGACTGCTTATTCTTCCATAATCCCAACATTTCAGCTTCCACCTTGTTCCAAATTTTAGCACATCTTACTGAAGTACTAAGCTGATAATCACCAATTCATTTCAAACCATATAACTCATACTCAGCATCCAATATAATATTACACGTCATCTCACAAAGCAATATCTTTGTAGAAACACATAATGGGTACCCAGCAGATATGCCAATACAGAAATCACATTTATGGGCACACAACTACACACTCTGTCTCCCTCCTAGGAAACACGGATAGACACAATATAAAAGCAATCTTAAACTAACACCTCCAAATCTCCAACTATTCTTGGCCAAAACGCTAGTATTCAACAACTAATAAAACAGTTATTTGCTAGGTTATTTGGCTGTCATTCTTATCAGTATCACTAGACTGTGACAAACTGATTCACATATAATTTAAAACAATACAGCAACATATAAATTAAACCACTTTCAAGTTAAACTGCACACTTATCACACATTATCACAATCACCATTTACACAGAATAAACAGTTAACAGCTGTATTCAGAACATATTATTGGAAAGTATACCAATTTTAGTTTAGATTTATTTTAGGGATTCTTATGTGTACATTTTCTTAATTAACTTCATTACTTTAATCTACTATAGTATTATATATAAAGAAAGGATCCATTTATATAGCGCGCTCATAACTCAACTATTTGTATAAAACTACCATTAACTAATCTGAGATGATGCTGCATCAACTTAAATCTTACAGAAATTGAACAAACATCTGGACCAGATTAAACAGACATGGTTTCACCTGAATCTTTCAGAACTCTCAGAGACTTAAAAATTTATACTGTACCATGTTTTAAAGGCATGGCAAACCTTTAGACCGGTCAGTCTCCAAGAGCCCTTAGTAACACAGGTAAAAACCTTTTGTCCATGATGTCTGATTCAGGCTATATACCACAATTTAAAATAACACATAATGTGAGACATAGAAGACACAAGCAGTAGTTATTACACTGGATCATTTAAAAGGAACCTGTTGCAATAAATAGGTTAGTTTACAGTGCAAAATAAAGCATGTGTTGGACCGCTGAAAATGTAAATGTTGCTCTTATTTTCAAACAAAAATCATATTTACAGTATGGATCCTTTGCAACAAACACACAGGGCAGGGAAGATGTGCTGATTGGTGTTTCTATACAATTAATCCCATATGGGGAATTAACTTCCAAATACTAATGAAGTGACTTTTTGTCTCAGTTATAAAATATACTGAGCTCATCATGCAAACAATGCAACACATTTACACTATCCCACTCTCATAATAAGTGTAGTGGGCTTATGGTATTTTTAAAGCAACAATCATACCAGGCACATAGATCCCATGTGAAATAACTTACAATAAAACAGAGTAATAAACTTATACTTCTATGCGACAGAAAAAAATAAAGTAAAAAGATTTAAGTAGGTCTATCAGGTACAACCTATGAGTCATTTCTTTTCTAATATACAGTACTGCTATCTTGCAGAAAGATAAGTCCTGCGCTCACTCCCATCACTACTGGGCAGCAGCAAGGACTACAGTACACATCAGCCCCAATATATGGTAAAAACCAAAGAAAAACAAGTTACCTGCGTTCTCTCCTTAATCCCTATGTATTTTTAAAACCTCCATTTGTTTAAAAGTACTGCTATCTTATATATACACATATACATATACACACACATATATACATACATATACACATATATACATACACACACATATACATGTACATATATTGGTCACTCAGGACATGAACTCACATTTCCCATACTGCTGACTCAGAGTGGGGACACTACTAACTTACCAAAGTGTGTCCCCAATATAGACAAACAATCACCCACAAAAAACACTTAAGACAAACAAAGGTGACCGGGAGAAAGAGAAGTTTGGGTTATACTTATAGATCTACAAACCGTGCTGCTCAGAACACCTATAGACTTAATAAACCGGAGACCTCTTATGGTCTCAAAACCTGTATCTACCTGAGATACCCTGTATCTATCTTAGATACTAACCTGGGTTACCAAAACCCTATAATAAACCGGAGACCTTTTATGGTCTCAAAAACCTGTATCTATCTTAGATACTAACCTGGGTTACCAAAACCCTATATATTTAGACCAAATGTCTAATAAACCGGAGACCTATTTACAGTCTCAATATAACTAGAGTCCTTACACCTTTCCTATCTACTGGATACAGTCTTACTGAACCAAACGGGGGTCATAGACAATCAGCGTCAATAAGACACAAAAAGGCTACTCACCGCAAATGGTTTTGCTGATCCAACTTCTATCCCACTTCTAGACACCAAGCTGAAAGGGTTAATGTTGTAATGGACTCTAATCCCCTCGGTTCTCGATCCCTCGGTCACCATAATCAACGTTGATGGAGAATCATTTGTAAGCAATAACACACGGACAACAGCTTTACAAGACTCTCAAATGAGTGTATTCCAGAGCTGGCTTTTATACATAGTTTGCTTACATTAGCCATGGTATATGCAAATACAGTACAGAATACAGTACAGTACAGTATAAGATTTATTACTTCCTTATATTACGTTATTCTGACAATGGAAAGATAAGCTTTTGCATACGTCTGGAAAAGAATATCCTGAAATCGGAATGGGCAAGACATCCTGAAATTTTAGCATTGTCTTACATCCTATAGAAGAAATACCTTAGTCTGTCACAGTCAGCATATTATGTCGTTTAAGTATTCAATATTCCTTCAGTCAGCAATAATCATGTTATAAACCTTATAAAAGCATAAAATACATATAAACAAGTTAACTATTTAATATTCTTACAGTCAACATTCAGCACGACACACAGAGCAGACTCGCAAGAGTGGAAGAGAGAGGCTGCTTAAAACTGAAGATTACAATGCCAATGAACAACCAAATAGTGTAATGTCCCCCCTCTTTGGCCATAGGTTAAAGGTATGGAGAAGGGAATAAAATTATTAAAATAATTATTAAAAAAGTGTAACATGAAAAAAATATGAATGCCGCTCCTATCCTGCCCCGCATATATACTCACACTCTGCATCCACTACAAACACACACACTGCATCCACTACACGTACTGCATCCACATACTGCATCCTCTACGCAAACACACTACACCAAGCATTTCAGACTCGCGGCCTCCGGGCCGCATGCGGCCCACCAGGACCATCTATGAGGCCCGGCGAGCCGCGAGTGCATGCTCAGTGTTATAGCAGAGTAGGCACCTGCTTTCCCCATATTGCAGGTGCCTACTCTGCTATCATTTACCCGGCCGGGGAGGAAGCAGGATGCTGGCGGCCAGCGAGGATGCTCAGTATTCCTTCTCCTCACTGCTCCCTTACGCGCGCCGTCTGAAGTGAAGCCGGGCGCCGGAATATGACGAGTGTGTGTGTGTCTGTCTGTGTGTGTGTGTCTGTCAGCAAGTATGTGTGTGTCTGTGTGTGTGTGTGTCTGTCAGTATGTGTGTGTGTCTGTCTCTCAGTGAGTATGTGTGTCTGTCAGTGAGTATGTGGGTGTGTCTGTCAGTGTGTGTGTGTCTGCATGTGTGTGTCTGTCTGTCAGTGAGTGTGTGTGTGTGTGTCTGTATGTGTCTGTCAGTCAGCAAGTATGTGTGAGTCTGTCAGTATGTGTGTCTGTCAGTGAGTATGTGTGTGTGTCTGTGAGTATGCATGTGTGTCTGTCAGTGTGTCTGTATGTGTGTGTCTGTCTGTCTGTCAGTGAGTGTGTGTTTCTGTCAGCAAGTATGTGTGTGTTTGTCAGTGAGTATGCGTGTGTGTCTGTCTGTGAGTATGTGTCTGTCAGTGAGTGTGTGTGTGTGTCTGTCTGTCAGTGTGTGTGTGTCTGTCAGTGAGTATGTGTGTGTGTGTGTGTGTGTGCGGCCCACATAAACTTAAACCTTGTTTATGTGGCCCATGCCACACTTTGAGTTTGACATGCTTGCACTACACCCATACTTCATCCTTGTGGGGGAACTCAGGGGTGGACACTGTGAGCAGACCAGGGGGTGGGCACTGTGAGTGGACTAGATGGTGGGACCAGGGGTGCCAGGGGCGGACTGAGCACTCAGGCATATCAGTCATGGACTGAGGGCCAGAGGCTCTGGGGGGCCCACCCCTGCTTCAAGAAATTAAGGTTCGGCTGGGGAGTTTAACAATCTTCCCAGCCAGCCTGCAGTCAGTCAGGGTCCCCTGTTAAAAAAATTATTTCCCCCTTGTTCGGCTGGACACAGTGAGGGATAGCTAAAGGGCCCTCCCAAAGACCCACTAGGCTGTCTATCACTGTGCCTGACTGATGGGTAGAGCAGGAGAGCGGTCTGTAGTCCTGATCAGGCAGCTCCGTGCAGCTTGTTATAGAGGAAATTACATAATGTGTCAAAAGTTCAACAAGCTCTGCGGAGCTGCCTGATAGTTTTACATGCAGCATAAAGTATCTGATACAGCATGCCACAGGTAAGGCTCAGGAAGGAGAATTTTTTAAAATGTATTAAAAGTCTATATAATCTGTCCCCTATAGTCCCTTTATCTCTCTACCCCCTACAGCCCTTAAAATCCCTACAGTCCCTTTACCTCCTACAGCCCTCTACCCCCTACAGCTCCACTGCCTCTTGCAGCTATTTTAACCCCTGCAGCCCCTTGGTGCTACTTCTAAGTGCTGTTTCTAAGTGTCTAGTTGGAGATATTCTGGAGAGTTTTACAGAAGCTTCAACTGTCTAAGAGTTGTGCTAAGAGCTTTCTTTTCTACTGTTACAGGTAAAATCCATCTGTAGGAAAATGTTACTGATTGCACAAGGTTTGAATTCCTGTTGGTAATTATAAGGCATTTGATTTGATTAAGCTAGTTACTTGCTATTGATTGCTGGTTAATTAGCTATTGTTTGCAAATAAGCAGAGGCCTACCCAGGTGTTAAACATCCCTAGTGGGTGGTGATTTTAGGAGTTATATAAGGCTTGGTGTCATTAGCTTGTCTAATATAGCTTGGTGCTACTTCTAAGTGCTGTTTCTAAGTGTGTAGTTGGAGATATTCTGGAGAGTGCTGTTTCTAAGTGTGTAGTTGGAGATATTCTGGAGAGTGCTGTTTCTAAGTGTGTAGTTGGAGATATTCTGGAGAGTGCTGTTTCTAAGTGTGTAGTTGGAGATATTCTGGAGAGTGCTGTTTCTAAGTGTGTGGTTGGAGATATTCTGGAGAGTGCTGTTTCTAAGTGTGTAGTTGGAGATATTCTGGAGATAACCTGGAGGTAATCTGAGGTATTCAGGAGGATAAATACAAAGTTAAGATTTGTTAGATTTAATTTATTCTCCTAATTGGAATGGCAGACTTAGTTCAGTGTAACAATTGCTATGCATTTGTTTCACGTTCCACTTTTTGGAGGTTTGGTTGTTGTCTAATCTGTAGACAGTTCTCTATCTTGCGGCAGGAGATTGTATTTTTGAAGTCTGAGATTTGTAAATTATCTGGTGAAGAAACTCAGACTGGAACTGCTGCAAAGCCACTGCCGCAGAGACATACTAGGAAAGGCAGATGGATTACTGTAGGATCTGGTAGACTTAGAGTTGTGGATAAAAGGCATTTTACACAGTCTGTTGCTCTTCATAATTCATTTTCTGCACTTTCAGAGTGTAATGGTGTTGTGGAGAGAGGCACTGAGGCTAGTGGTGTTGTGGAGAGAGGCACTGAGGCTAGTGGTGTTGTGGAGAGAGGCACTAAGACTAGTGGTGTTGTGGAGAGAGGCACTGAGGCTAGTGGTGTTGTGGAGAGAGGCACTGAGGCTAGTGGTGTTGTGGAGAGAGGCACTGAGACTAGTGGTGTTGTGGAGACCGGCTTGGAGACTATGGTGAGGCCTAATAGAAAGCAGTTGTTGTTGGGGATTCCATCATAAGAGGTGTGAAGATGGACAATGGTGGTCTTGTGAGGTGTCTTCCCGGAGCTACTGCTCACAGAGACAGGAGACGTATCTGTAATATTGTTAAGCAAGCAAAGCAGGAAGGGGAATTGGATGTACTTGTCCATCTAGGGACAAATGACTTGGCTTGCAATGAGGTTTCAGAGGTTAAGGAAGTTTTTAGTGTTTTTGCCAATGATATACGGCAGGTTGCTTCCACACTGTCATTCTCTGAAGTTCTGCCTGTGCATAACACTCAGAACGACAGGCGGATGCGTATTAGGGACTTTAATTTGTGGCTTGGTGAATGGTGTCGGGAGCAAGGATTTGGCTTTATTTCTCATGGTAGCTCTGTTTGGAATGGAGATAAACTGTACAAAAAAGATGGTTTGCATCTTTCTCAAAAGGGAACAAATGTTCTCAGTG